CACACCCACACCCACACCCACACCCACACCCACACCCACACCCACACCCACACCCACACCCACACCCACACCCACACCCACACCCACACCCACACCCAGACCCACACCCACCCACACCCCACACCCTACTTTGACTTGGATCGCTCTTTTCTTAGCTTGAAAAATACCCACTGCGCAAGAACCGTTTCTCTATTGTTTCAAGCTGTTATATTCAGTGAACTTTTAATGGATCGATACATGATCATCGTTGCATTCCTATCAATAACAAGGGAGAAAAAAAATCTATTGATTATAAAGTTCATCATTCGTCAGCGATTTGAATGACCGCCTTTCCAAAGTTCTTTCCTTGAAAGATACCAACAATTGCCTCAGGAGCATGTTCCAATCCTTTCGTTATATCTTCTTTGATCTTGAGTTCTCCACTTGCAATCCATTTGGGAACTTTTGAATAGAAATGTTTTTGAAAACTCGGATCAACCACCTTGTCCCAAATGATAAAACCTTCAAGTTTGAGTCGTTTGGTAACAATCTGCATGAGACCTCGAATAACATGTGCACTAGGTTCATTGTACTGTGAAATCATACCACATTCAATGAATCGAGCATGAATATCTGCTGCATCAAGAGCTGCCTCGAGTTGATCCCCGCCTACATTGTCGAAGTAGATATTGAGAGGTTTGAATTTGGCGAGTTCCACTTTTGGATTAGCTGTCTTGTAATTGAAAGCATGATCGAACGAAAGTTCACTTTTGAGCCATTCGACTTTCTCGTCTGATCCAGCTGATCCGATCACTGTTAAGCCGTCACGCTTTGCTAAAAAAATTACACATCGATCAGTATGAGTATTTTCAACAGGTAATAACTTTTTCTGTGAACAGACAAATAGCAGATTCTATCAAAGAAAAAATACTTCAATACGTCTCATGATTTTATTGTTTATTAACCTTCAGATAAATCAGTGGTAAACAGGTTTGTTCGCTTGCAGATGCTCTTCCTCGTTCTTTGTTTATTTCGTTACGTTTCAACGCTGATGGTGCTCTTTTCAGGCATCATCATCTACAAACAATAGAATCAAATCACATGCATGCACATCAATTCATTTTTCTTTCCTCTTCTCGTTTGATAATGAATTTGTAAAAGATGATTAGTAAACTATTGCTCATTTCAGAAAAGAAGACGGGTGTGTATTTTTTGAATAACTTTTGATAGGAACAAACTAGAGAGCTGCGGTTTTTACCGTTGGAAAGAGGCCTATCCAGCACATCGATTTATATAAAATTGTTAGAATTTATTTCATAAATAAGTAGTGATCTATGGTCATCTTGGAAGAATAGACTGTTGTTCTATGAAGATAAAACAAATCTTAAACTTTGAAGAGTAGATTAGAATCGCCAGCTCACGAGCTACAAAACTGTATCTATGTCTTGATTCAAAGCTTTACTACTTTTGGAGTTTTAGGTATTATATTCGACAATTCTAGTTCCTTCTGCCAGGAATTTCTGTAAAAACTCAGTTATTTTAGTTGTTTTCTGGAAAAATCAGAACTGTTTTTAAGGCATTTCTTTGTTCAATTATTACAAAAAGTCTCAAAAGTTCAAGTTAAAAGTCATTCTCTTATATGGTTCAATGCGTTTTCATCTGCTCTTCCCAACGGTCAAAACCGCAGGTCTCTACCATTTTCCTATCAAAAGTTATTCAAAAAATACCCACCCGCCTTCTTTTTTTGCAATGGGCAGTAGTCTTCTGTACTAGTATTGCAATCTTACTTATTTTCTACCAAATCAGACAAAAAGCAACATAGGACGATGTAGGGAAGAGAAGGAAGTAATGCATGTGCATGTGATTTTATTTTATTATTTCTTGATCATGTCTAATTTTAAATTGATTGATTCATTGTAGCCTTCCTGTTAACCGTTAATTAACGGAGACTTTTCCGACTATTGAATGACTCACCGAGTTGTCCGACAATTTGACCGACACCTCCAGAAGCTGCAGTAATGAAGATTGTATCTCCCTTCTTCGGCTCTCCTATGTAATAAAAACCATAGAAAGCCGTTTGTCCAGGCATTCCAGCCCCACCAACCCATGTTGTCAAAGGTAAACCAAGCTTGAGTTCTGCCTCAGTAAGAACACGAAGTCCTGCGGATTGAGCGCTTGGATGAACTGTATATTCTTCGTATCCTGCAAATCCGTAGACGAGTTGACCGACTTTGTACTTGTCGTTGTCAGATTTAACAACCTTTCCGACGCTGAAGTTGGTCAGTGGTTTGTTGAGCTCGAACGGAGGTGAATAGCTTTTCCTTTCCGGTGCTCTCATTAGACTTCGCATATACGGATCAATGGAAACGACAAGATTCTTGGTGACGATGCCGCCTTCTGTATCGACTGTATCGATATCGATTGTTCGATTTGTGACATACTTGATATGTTTACCGGGTTCTGGATAGCCAGTGGGAACTTCAGCGAATATGACGGCAGCATTTCGAATGGGTGCCATGATTCAGCAAAAAAAAAATAGTTTGAACTTTATCGAGCGTGTTATGTGTAGAATGAGATAGGGATGAAATGCTTTCTTATGCACTATGAATGATATACATTGCTATTACGAATAGGAAGAAAGGAAGGGAAAATGACTTGTTTGTAATTTAATACCATGCGCATCATTAAAACGGAAGAAAAGAAAGAAAAAAAATTTACTCACTGTCTATAAAGAAGTATGTATCTGTAACGAAAAATTAGATGGAGTCGTCTTATATAATCGAGTGGATGTATATAATTGAGACTTGAAGGATGCACAACAAGAGCAACACTACAACGTGTTAATTTATTTGAAATGATAAGACACGGATATACAATGTTTAATGTATGAAGACACGGCACACAATCAATTGGAGGGAATGGGTGTCTCTATAATGTTATGATCCTTGACCTAACCTAACTTCGTTACTTGTTCAACAACCTATTCGTTTAACATTCTACTGTAACAAGCTGTAACGAGCTGAGACTGGACTGAGTCAGTACTGAACTGCTTTGTATTGAAACCAACTGCCTGCTATCTGTCTGAGAGACACCCATATATATATAGAGAAAGTGAGAGAGAGAGAAAAGAGAGAGCAATAAGAGAGATAGAAATCTGTAGAAGAGACGAATGGGAGCAAATGGACGAAATGGAATAGAAGCAAAAGGAAGATGAAACAGAATAGAAAACGAATTGCGCGATGCTCGAGCGAGAGCAAGGGGCGGGATACAAAAGGACATCCGACGCCCTATGCAAACGCTATTAGTCGCATCACATTGGGATAATGTGCTTGTTAGCATCATATGACGTGATATCGACTGGCGTAATCAGAAGAGACCAAGTGCTCTTTTGGCACAGTATCGATGCCGTGCTTCCTGTCTCAATCTCAGTATGTGGAAAGGTTATTCGAAATACATTTATCCGTTTCATCTTTGTACGACTTTAGAGCACGGACAATCAATGCAAACGAAAGCTAACTCTTTAGTCTTCAATTTAACTCAGGTACGAAGGGTGTGGGTGCGGGTGTATGGGCGTGTCGGTGAGGGTGTGGGTGTATGGATGTGGATGAGGGTGTCGGTGTAGGTGTGGGCGTCGGCGTGGTGGGGTCTGGGTGTTGGTGTGGATATGGATATGTGAACTTCTATTTAGACGCTCACTCCCACACCCACACCCACACCCACACTCACCAGCAACCCCATACCAACACCCACACTCACCAGCAACCCCATACCAACACCCACACTCACCAGCAACCCCATACCAACACCCACA